ATGCACTATATCTCAGAAGCAGCACGTATGTAAACGATGGCTTTAATAAATTTTAACTGATACATAAAACTTTTAGTTCTATATCTGCTTTAAACATTTTATCACATTTTAGTCGGGTTTTTAAAAGCCACTACCGAGATTATCTAAATCAAGGGCATTTAGACCAACTCTGTTATCAAGATCTGAGTTCGAACGAGTTTTATTAGCATACGATTGCATTGAACTTTTAACTAGTACGTATTTAATAAATTAATATTATTATTATTATATGTAGTGGATTCAATGGACTGTAAATGAATATTTATATAATTGCAATTTTTAAATATCATACGAAGAAATATTTTGCCATTCATCAAAAACTTGGTTAGCAATCAAAACATCAAAAATTAATTCAGAAATAGTTAGGACTGTAAAAGTTTGTCTTACATTTTTTTTATTCCTATTATTAATTTGAATACTTTAAGATTAACAATAATAATCAAATATACATATTTCTTATTAAATTATATTATTATATTATATTATATTATTATTATACCTATTAAACCATTTTGATCTTTATAGTAGCAAATTTAAATAATTTGGAATGAAAATAGTAACGTGACTAACCAAGTTGTATTTTGTAAAATTTTGAAGGAATTTCAGTTTTTATACCTATAACGAAATTATGGTTGGAAGTGGAATACAGGTAGGTATAACTACCACTTTTCGGCCAGACTATAAACGTACTATACAGACCCAAAAAAGGCGTCAGGAGTAATCATCAGCCAGCCAGGTAGTCGCTTACAGGCTGGACTAAGCATAAATGCTATAAATTTTTACAAAGAAATAATGATTTTGGCGGCAAAACTGCGGACTTTATAATACTCCATAGCCAGATCTACCTGAAAGTAATTCAAAGACCTGGTAACAAGGTTTTATTTTGCTTATTGAAAAATATCTTCATTACCTACATTAAACTAAAATTGGTTGTAGAAAACACTAATATTGAATGAAACTTTAGTGTTTTTTATACAGGATAATGTATAAAATGTGTAGATAAATTAAGACAGGAGATAAAAAGTGACCCTTTAGGAAAAAAGTCAGAAGATCCAAATGAAACATGACATAGGTCTTTAAATGTCAATATCATCTAGGAATAGTAGTGTTTTCTTGCACTCAATTATATATTTTTTCTAAGAGAACTCAAACTACACAAAAAAGTGTTTTGGACTGACGACATGACTACATAAAAGTTTGTCTCTTGCTATCTCTCGAAATAGTTCTACGCCAATGATTTTTTATTCCTAATGGTTATATTATATTTAAAATTAGGGTCAGTTGGGGTAAATGTAAACGATTCTAATAAAATCAACTTTGATAAAGTCTAAAATTTAAAGTTTAACAGTTGTGAAGATAACCTTAATATTGGACATTCTCTGGAACACCTTCTAGAATGCCTTAAACGTGCAACTTAACATTGTTAACCGTTACCGAAAAAAGGGTGTTTACAAGTACCCAGGAAAAAAAAATTTAAAGAAATATTGGGGCAAATGTAAACTAACTATTTATTGTTCTATAAATTCTAAATTCTACCCTATTCTAGCTCGAGCTATAAGGTAATTCGCAAGGTCGTTTCTGCATCTATTGGGATTGCAAGACGGCGTCCTGCAAACTCATAGGCTTCATGGTATTTTTTCTTCGTTTGATCCTTTGATATATAACGGCAATAGGAATATTGTCGGTCTCCCTGTCTGTCCTGTTTTATTGATATCCTGTACATTATTAACAGCATTAATAAGATCCAATTCGCTGTATCTTTCAATGTTCGGTCGTTTCTTCTGATAATTTCGCACCATTGTGTTTCTGAGAGTATATAGAAACGGGTTTACAATTACCCCTTAAATGTTTTTACAATTACCCCGTTTTAAATTTTTAACGGGGCAATTGTAAACACACATCTACTATGAATTTGTGCCTAACCTAAAAAAGTAACGTTGTTTCACATTGTTCATTCAATAATGAACGCTACTATATAAATAAATTGTCTTATCTTTATCAAAATCTGATTTATGCACATTTAAAAAGCAAAAGCAAATTCTGCTTAACAAACTTTTGAGTCGTGTCTCCGAAAAATAACTGCCACAAGCAGAAAACCAACACAATGAAATCGTTATTGCTGTACTATAACAAAACATAATTCCACATGTCACGGATGCCGCTGTACGTCGTTGCTACCCGCCAAATTCAAAAGTTATGAAGCTTGTTTACAATTGCCCCTGTTCACGATTACCCCAACTGACCCTATAATTGTAAGAAAATAATTTTATGGTTTAGAACTATTTCCTAGTATTATAAAAAGTAATAACTCCAGAATAACTAGTATTTCGAGTAAAATATTTCTTTGAAATATAACTGGGAATTAAATGAACTTATCGAATTTCTAAAATATTTAGTGGTCGAAAATCTGGGATTCTTAACAACGAGGGTATCTCCCGATATTTCTGCTACTAGCTGACATACAATTATATCACAAAATAAAAGTAAAAATTCACTGAATTTGTACACAGATACAAATTCATTGAATTTTTACTTTTATTTAGTTCAAACGTCAACTAGAGTTTAATTATTGTTGGTCAAACATATTTCCAGACATTTATCTACTTATTATTTGTGATGTTTTTTCAAAACTCAAAAAATTGGCAAATGAAGGTGTACTTGGCCCCAATTAGAATCCGTACGATATTTGTTGAGATAAAATTCCAAGAAGACCCTTGCGTCATTTTCTTGGAATTAACCGCATTCGACACCAGAGGTAGAAAGACATTGGCGGCGTACAGTGGAAAATATGGGAAAAAATTCTACGCACTCGGCTATTTTAACCGTAAAGTGGTAATTCCTTTTTTATTCTTCAAATATGCTTAATTTTATGGTCGTGGTGAGATAATTTGATATATCCATATAGGAATTTTTTAAATCGAGTGAAAACCATTGGCCTCAACACCAGTGATAATAATTCGGTATTTAAAAATAATACAATACTTTTCAAATTTAAACCTGAACCCAAAAAAACCTCAAAATCATGAAATCTAACCTCAAAGTAATACACTGACTCCTTTCTAAATCTATGGGTAATAATTACTTGAAAAGCCATAAATCTACTCCCATAAAAACCTAACCTCAAACCCTTCAAAACCTAACCCCAAACCCTCAAAACCCAACTTCAAATTCTAAAAACATGTGCTACAAAGTTATAGAACGTATATGTTCCGCACCCAAGATAAAAGTCCTTGAAAACTATTTTCTGGAACTTATATATTTTATTTTTGAAGCCCCTAACATCTATTGTTAAATATCTAACCTCAAATCTAAGAAATTTGAGCTAGAACGAAGGAATATTTTCCAAACCAAAGAATGTGACTCCTTGAAAACTCTATTCTGGAGCTAATATTTTGTATTTCTGAAGTCTCAAATCTATGCTATGTCCATAAAAACCTAACCTCAAACCCTTGAAACCTATTCAGAAATACAAAATATTAACTCCAGAATAGAGTTTTCAAAAAGTCACATTCTTTGGTTTAGAAAATATTCTTCGTTTGACTTTCTAATTCAGATTTCTTGAATTTGAGGTTAAATATTTAAGAATAGAGGTTAGGGGCTTCAAAAATAAAGAATATAAGTTCCAGAAAATAGTTTTCAAGAACTTTTATTCTTTGGTGTAGAAATTATACGTTCTATGAATTTCTAGTCTAGTTATTAGAATTTGAAGATGGATTTTGAGGGTTTGGCGATAGGTTTTAAAGGATTTGAGGTTAGGTTTTTATGGGTGTACGTTTATGGCTTCAGAGTTAGGAAATATAAGCTCAAAAATATAGTTTTCAAGTAATTGTACCCACGATTTAGAAAAGAGTCAGTGTATTACTTTGGGGTTATGTTTTTGGGTCCAGGTTTAAGATTGAAAAGTATTGTGAAGTTACATAATTATTGTCGTTGTTTATTGAACTTCAGATATGAAATTTTTGATTTTTTAATTTTTAAATACCGAATTCTCTTTGGTGTTGAGGCTGACTCTATTTAAAAAATTCGTATATAGGTCTACAACTTATCGCACCAGGATCATAAAATTAAACATATTTGAAGAAGAATAAAAAAGAGATTACACTGTACGGTTAAAATAAGTGCGTAGAATTTTTTCCCATATTTTCCACTGTTTGACGTGGAAAACTGTATTTTGAAGTTACGAAGTCGTTTCTTCGATTCTTTTCTTGGAATTAATTCTATCTCGAGAAATATCGTACGGGCTGTATCATATTTTAAACATTATATAATCTGATAACACTTGGGCACCTTTATTTTAAAACACACTGTAGTAATAGACTTGTTAGACAGGTATACTAGTATATTTAAATATTTTTTATGCTGCATCACGTTGACAGCTAGACAAAATGAATTATTTTCTTCTGACAAGAAGTTTGTGTCGAAATGTGTTTTTGCCAAACTCATTTGACCTTTTTTTTAACAATTTAACACGTCGCATACTAAAAATACTTACTTTTTGCACTAGTTACATAAATAGTTATTTTGCCAATATACTTTCATAACCTTACGTCTTTTTTACTATTCATTTTCATGCCTGTGTCCATACAAACCTCCTGTAGGTACTTAAAATTTCGTTTTTTTTATTTCCTGCTTTAGTTTGGCTACATATTTTAGAATCGCCCTGTATTTATTAAATTATTAACAATAAAATTTATCCCCAGGCAAGACGCTGGGTGATAAATGACTATTTGAGCGTCACTTTCGTCGTTAGAGTTTTCCTACGACCCTGATTACACCCAAACAGCGACATAAGGCACCAAAAAGTGCAACCCCTACGCCGCCATATCACAATAACACAGCGGCTCAGGTGAGCCGCCTTTACCTGTACAATTGCAAATGCCCACTTTGCTTTCTTAGAGCGCCTTGCGACCTCTCTGCCTCTCCTAGTCGAGTTCAGTCTCGGTTCTCGCAGCACTGTGAAAGGTGGACTGTTATGCTCCAATCCACAGTCTCTGTCCAAGCGCGCTCGATTACCTTTCAAAATGATCAACAAATTTCGGTATAAAAAACCCGCCAACAAGGATAATAGTGCCAGTGATAAGGATAATAAAAATCGCGACAATGTGGCGAAGTGCGGTGAGTTCAACGACGACACCCTCAGGAGGAGGAAAGACAAGAAGGACAACAGTGGTAAAGGTGAAACGAAGACGGACACGCTAAAAAAGGATAAAAGCGGAGGAGTACTAGATGACCAGACCAAGAAGCAGCTTCACGTGAGTTTATCCTATGCGCCATGTCTCTTTGTTTTGCGTTAAGCACGATTAACAGTTTCCATAGATCTTTCGTCGTTATTTACCCAGCTGAGGTGCTCCACTTTAGTCAATTACCTATTCAGTCCCCACAACTGCTTGTTATTCGCGATACTCTTGGATTACTGTTACAGGACAGGACAATCTTTGTGGTCTGGTTATGCAATTAATTTCATGTTGCCGTGCAATAAGTGCTAATAATAAAAATAGAGATGAGATGATGCTGGCATTTAGCAGATACATGCCTCGGGAGGCTTAACCATTTAATACCACTATTTATTACGAGTAATCATCGAGTTTATTGAAGCTCTCTTAGAGCGAGATGTTCTCTACTTTGAATTGCCTTAGTTAATAGTCACTAAATTGTAATTACTTGGATTTGAACATACTATCGATGTAGAAGGATTTTTATTCGAATGCACCAGTGGCGCACACATAATTTTGCACTGACAATGAGTGTGCCATGAAATATAACAGTATTTGAATATGGGCTGGTCATATAGTTATAATACATTGCAGCTTCACAATGTAATTTCATATCCGATTTTGTATGTCCACAGTTAGTTTAAAAAATATACTGAGAAGGAGTGTTTCTCTCTTTTTTTCTTTGGTAATTTAAGTATATTAACTTAGACGCAAAGAAAGACGAAGATATATGTCATCCAATGACCTTTTTTGGATAGCAAGACATTATTGAAGGTTTATAGAATTCAAAAAAAATTCACTTTTGTATTATTTATCTATTGTTTGAAACACCACACAGGTATAATAATGTACAGTAATTTAAATGCTCAAATTTAATAATAAATTATAGAATTATCTAGTTGTCTGTTCATATGGGTCTCTTAAGGTTTCACTTCGTAATAGTGGGTCGATGCCAGCGGCAATAAAACCAGTTTTTAAAAGTAATCTTTGACTCGATACACTCTATTTAAATGGATTGTTCCCAAACAAAATCTCCTAATACACGTAACCTGCATTATGTGGACATGCGGATTGGAAGAAAAGTAACAGTATTCAATACGGCCAAAAACCGTACTTTAAGATCAGTTGTAGTGGACAGTTGTTCTTTCTCGTATTTAATACTATAATCTGTTTAGAAATGAAAGAGAGTAATAAAAACTTATTATGTATGCAAATCGTAAATAAATGTAGTACTGGTGCTTATATTCAATATTTTTATATTATGTATTTTCCGTATAGATGAGGTGTACTTTTAACAAAACTTTGTGCGATCGGACTGTACTAAATTGTAGCAGGTAGCTAAAATTTAATCCCCGACAATCCGTCTTTGTCTATGCCGCTTCAATTTCTCGGTCCATTTCTCTTATAAGTAAACAATATAAAAACAGCATTTCAAAACATGAGGCTACTTTAAGCATCATAACCGGGTTAAGAGGGTTTTTAGTAATTCAAATAAAATTATTCAATATTATTATCAAAATATTTATTTAAATTTAATGAATAGACTTTTATTCCACACAAAAATATATGTATTTTGAAAATTCAAATTATGGTGAGTAAATGTAGTGTTGTATAAATGTACAATAAAGAAAATAAAAAAGTAGGTATATTAAAATTCATCCTCTGAATATTCTGATGAATTATCTTCGTCTCCTAGATTGATAACGATAGGTTCCACAGTAACGTCAATTAAATTATCGAGTTCCCACATTTTCTCCTCTTCTTTTTGTACATGATGTATACATCTTTGCCAGTTATCTGCAGTTACTCGTTCCAAGGAATTTTTTAACAAAATTTTCACGTCACTTAATTTAAACGTCGTATTATTTCGCGCTACATCTCCTTTTACCTGCGCCCAGACTAATTCGATTGGGTTAAGTTCACAGTGATAAGGTGGTAACCGTAGTACCGTTATTTGGCGATTTGTTGCCATTTCATCGATAACATATTTTTTCTGATCTTTATTAAGATTGACAAGTGTCAAAAGTTCCTTTTTCACCATATTTGTTTCAAAAGAAATGTTTTTTCCGGATAACCATTGAATTATATCGGCTTTCCTCCAAGCAGTCGTAGGCGTCCGCTCGGTCTGCCGTGAATGGTAACTGGCATTATCCATGACAATTACAGACCCCGGAGGAATAAGATCCAACATCTGTGTAAAATACTCTTCGAAAACATCTGCGTTCATGTCTTCGTGATAGTCACCTGTATTTTTAGATTCAAATAAAAGTAAACCGCCATCTACAAAACCACTGGCACTACCTATATGTGTCACTATTAATCTTCGCCCTTTACCTGAAGGTGCCTTGAACCCTGTTGAAAGTCCATCCAAAAATGCTTGTCGAAAACTTTTTACATTTTTATCTTGCCATACTTTTGTTACAGTATATCCCTCGTTGACCCAAGTTTCGTCTAGATAATAAATATTCCTCCCTTCGTCACGGAATTTTCTAATTGATCTTAAGTAGGATCTTCGCCAACAAATAATTTCATCTTTATCGATAAGAACTGACTTCCTGTTCTGCTTTTCCCAGCAAAAATTCAACTCTCGTAAGACGGCCCATAATTTGCTTCTACTGATTTTTGGCAAATCGTTGTCCTCTGAAAGTTCACTTAAAATTTTGTTTAGCGTTGGTATTTCTTTTTTAAAATAAAATGAGTGTACTTTTCTGCGAATGACATTTTTGAAGAAATCATCTATAACGACTTTTGACCTCCCTGTAGATGATTTTGGGGGATTTACAGTATCTTGTTCATTTTTTGTTTCCTTTAAAAGTCTGTAGATAGTCGATTTTCCAATCCCTGTCATTTTTGTTAGCATTAGTGTTACCCGATAATTACCTGAAACGAAATATTACCACGCCCATGGCCGGTTCTTATCTCGAGGATTTATTACTCTCTTTCATTTCCAAACAGACTATAACTAATAAATATACAAATTTATTTATACCCATTCTAGATCTCGGTCACGTATTTTTGGAAAATTTTGTTGCTCTGTTAATTTTGTTGTTACTGACATTAACCCGCAGTTCAATAATTACTCATGTAGAACAGAACGTCATCAAAAGTAGTAGTAATGTAAACAAAGTTCGTAGATAGTTTCTATTTCTTTGTCTAGAATGGATACGCTCAGGCTATACGTGTAGCTGTTTCATCACACCGAATATCCGGAACACGTGTTCTTCACTTAAAAGTATGTTTGTGGTACCTGTTATCAAACAAATAATTTGTTTGTTCTATTCCAAGGTGAAAATGCTGTAAAATCTAAACTAAGCCTTCAGGAACAAAGTTCAGTAAACTATTGTCTTCAAGAAGTATCTCCTATCGTTGTAGATGCCGACAATGATAACGTGTTTTTTAAAGAAATATGACAATAGTGTAGGGATAAAATACATATATCCTTCTCAAATTCAGTCAGTTTGAATTATGTAAAAGTTCATGTTTCATCCTGATATAATAAATTCAATCATTTATTTGACCATGACCATTTTTGAATATAGAAGGACAAAGCAAATAAAACAAATTCGCAGTTTACTAAAGAAATATAATACATGGTCATAAAATGCAAATTATGAATGAAATTGATTTAAATTGAAGCAGTATTACGTCAACGGTTAATGATTTGTTTCATTTTCCATCTACTTCCTGCGTTACTACTAAAATATAGCACCAGTTTCCTTTTTAGATCACCTCAGACTACTGTTCCAAGGTGAAAATGATCATTAAACTGTTACATTGCAAGATTTAATCTTCCTATGAAGACAACTATCTTATGAACCTCTAAATATGTAGATTTATGATTTTAACAATAGATGATATATTTTAGTCAACTAAAACACCGACCAGATGTGTGCAAGAGCAAGAGGAAGAGGAAAGGACACTCTAAATGGTTTGATAAAAATATCTACTGGAATAACACTATTTTTTTTTAAGCAAAACTGCTGCTCGACTTTCCGTGATGTTCCTTCACCTCAGTATCGGATTTAATTATATACCTCATCGATCAGCATTCAGTAGCGCGGATTTATTACAATATTCACACAATGGGCACGCATTTGACACCGAAACCACTCCTTAGAATCGCATTGGCCATGCACAACAACAGCCGATTAATCGCATGTCTTACATCGCTTCCTACTTCATTTTTTTTCCACAGCAAACTGCGAGGGACAGAATTAATAATCCACCTCTGTCGCGAAGGATACGACATTGAATACTTATTACGTTTGTTTTTCTGTGCGTGACAGTATTTGCTGAACAGTTAAAAATTTTGCTAATGCATAATATGAATTTGTATGTAGAAACAGTGTTTGGAGAGAGATCCTTCACCTCTCACATCCTTGATGAAGGACAGAGGTGCCCCTTTGAACTAAAGGCTCTATAATTCTTCAAAAATTGGAAATTGAAAACTTCATTTACCAAAATATTTTTTTCTGGCCTGTATGAATCTAAATTTTTTCAACAACGAAGCAGATGAGACGATGGAGAACAATGAAGCAATTAATTCACGCTTAATCCCATCCGACTTAAAAAAAGATTTAATGGATAACGTCTATGAATAACATTGAGATAAAAACTCATACATCAGTTCCTTCTAGTGGGCATACATCATATTAAACAGAAAAGGAGATAGAAGGACATTGACTACGGGAATGACGGCGACAAATCTGCCTCCGAACGGAATCACAATCGACGCATTAAGATGCAATTTCCTTTCGATCGCTTACGAACTAAGCTTTTTGCGTTAAAATCGTCGCAGAAACAGGGTTTATCGTCCTCTCGGCAGAAAGCAATGAACCAACGGAATAACGCGATTACGACTGCTTTTTCATGCTGAAGTTGTTAACCGAGTTTAATAAAAATATTTGTAATTACTTCTTTGTTAAAGCAAACAGTCTTGCCGATTGGATGATTTATTTAGAAAAAATGTAAATAAGGAGTTGCTTCCTCTACCTTGCACATCCAGATCCAACCACTGGAACGTCAGAGTTCTTGAACTT